CTGGAAATGACAGAATATGTGAACACACAACAAATTTATCGACACCCCAAAAAAAGTATAAGCACTTTGTATGACACAAATGTGACCAAAGGTACCTGAAAGAGTTTGTGGTCATCCTGAAAAAAGTGTCTGGACTGATTCTGATTGGCTGTTTGATGTTCAAACAGCTGACTCTGATTAGCTGTGTGCTGCACTGACAGTCATGTTCCTCCCTCAGCTCACTGTCTATCTGGGGAAGAGAGACTTTGTGGACCACGTGGACCTGGTGGAGCCTGTCGGTGAGATTTTACTGAGTTTAGTTTGTTGTGTCAGTGAAGTGTAGTGTCCCTCTGCGATTGGCTGGTCTCTGATAGCAGCTGATTTCATCTTGAGGCTTGTTAGAAATGCACAGATGAAGATCAGAGTAAAAAGAAGTTGTCCTCTGGCTGTTTGTTGATTTTCTGACTGTTTTCCTGCAGATGGCGTCGTCCTGATTGACCCAGAGTACCTGAAGGAGAGGAAAGGTGGGGAAACTGAACCTCCTCTCTGGTCATATAAAAACAGATGGTTAAATATTCTCACAGATGTTCTGTAAGCAAAACCAAAAACTTAAAATAATATTTCCATCAATATTTTCATCATCCATGGATCAGGAAGTAGCAGGTCTTCACTAATCAAATGGTTGGTGTTTTGACCCTCGGCTCCTCCAGTCCACATATAGAAGTGTCCTTGGGCAAGATACTGAACCCCATAACTGCCCACCCTGTATCATTGATTTGTGAGTTTCAGTGTGATAGAAAAGCACTGCATGTATATATGAGTGAATGGGTGAATGTTGCTTGTTATGTAAAATGCTCTGAGTGGTCGATAAGACTAGAAAAGTGCTGTATAAGTGCAGTCCATTTACCATTTTGGGCTAGGAAGATTCCCATGTGGAATCTGTGTTACTTTGTGGGAGAAAAGGACATCCTCCTGAACACTGAAGCTGGAAATTGCTCTAATTTCTTGCCTTTAGATCTAAGTGCAGCTTTTAACACATTCCCCCAATACAACCCCCTCCCAACTCCAAATAGAAAGTCTGTAAATTATTTTTAATTCAGAAATTATTTTTAATTATTTGGATTTATCATATTTCATCTCTTTAGTTAACTCTTCAATTATAGTTTCTATTCAGTTTAGGTCTAAATTCTGTATCAAAGACTCCTTCCAACACTAGACAAAATTCTGCGTGCTTTCATATATTTTTTGTATGTAGTAAGTTTGTTGTATGACAAACACCTCTCAGGTTATTGAAAAAAGAAAAAAAGACATGACCTCAGTAGCAATGGTAGATACAGCCCAGACTCCTCTTTAACCGTGGTCTTCAGCTACTATCGGGTCCCTCAAGTTCAATACTACATTTATTAATTTATATGTTCTTGTTTGGTGACCTGACCAAAAATATAACCTCTCTTTTCACTTTTATGCTGATGATACCAAGCACTATCGACCTCTAGCTTAATAATTATCACAGAACTCAACAACTGTCTTCAGGACATCAAATCCTGGATGACTGAGAACTCTGCAGCTGAACAAGCAGAGGCTCAGCAGTGATATTTGGCCTCCTCTGGTCATTCAGCTTCAGTAAGCTGTGGAGTTCCTCAGGGAAGCGTCCTGGAGCCTCTGCTCTTTATGTTAAACCTCATAAAGATTTAAAGGAACACTTTATCATTCACTAGATTAAGGACATGTTGAGGGGAGGTTAACACAAAGACTGGAGGCAGGGGAAACTGTTAGCCTTGCATCATTGGTCCTATAAGAGGAAATGACTGTTTTTTTCTTCATCAGTGTTTGTCACTCTGACCTGTGCGTTCCGTTATGGTCGCGAGGATTTGGACGTCCTCGGGTTGACGTTTCGGAAGGACCTGTTTGTGGCTAATGTCCAGGCGTTTCCTCCACTGCCTGAGGAGAAGAAGAGTCTGACTCGTCTTCAGGAACGCCTGATTAAAAAGCTTGGAGAACATGCCTACCCATTCATCTTCGAGGTACTTAGTCTGCAGAACTTCCTTCAGATCTCTCTGTCAGCAGCACATCATCTGCTGAATATCGTTGCAAATTGTTTTTTGTCAACTGTTGATACAAAACCTGACAATCTTTTCTTGAATACCTGAGTGAGAAATATAAACATGTTTTTCTACAAACCCTGTCTCTTAATTGAACACAGACGCTAAAGTCAAATATGTAACCAAGCAGCCAGACAAGAACTTTGTCTAAATAAAAAAAAACAGTCTGAGCGTGCAGAAAAATATGATTTAAATCAGCCTAGTATCAGCTGGTTTCAGTCTAGTATCAACTGTTTTCAGCCTAGTGTCAGCTGGTTTCAGTCTAGTGTCAGCTGGTTTCAACCTAGTATCAGCTGGTTTCAGTCTAGAGTCAGATGGTTTCAGCCTAGTATCAGCTGGTTTCAGTCTAGTCTCAGCTGGTTTCAGTCTAGTGTCAGCTGGTTTCAGCCTAGTATTAGCTGAAAGTCTCTAGATTTGTCACCTGGTGCTTTTAAAAAAAAAAAATCGTTATAGGGTGTGAAAAGTTGCCCTAAGTTTTCGTGTCAGACAGCACATAATTCCAAAATTAAATGATCAAGTCTCAGGTCAGACCTAATTTACTTTAGATAGAAGATTAGAGGTTTTATTTTGACGGTCTTGCGGTCTGGGAGGCCTACCATGTATTCTGGATTTTAAAGAAAACTGAACACAACTGAAAGAAGAGAGAGAAAAGACTGCTGTACTGACAATCTGCAGATAATGAAAAATAAGGGTTAGAATCATGAAATGTGATATTAGCAGCTTCCATTTGAGATATTTTTCCTTCATGTGTTTTTAGATTCCTCTGAACCTGCCATGCTCTGTCACCCTGCAGCCTGGACCAGAGGACACTGGGAAGGTGAAGATGCTGAGTTTTCTCTTTCATTTCCCACTGAGATTTTGTCTGCTTTGCTCTCTTGGTCTGTTCTGTTGCTATGCAGCTGCTCTGGGGTTAAAAGCCTGAACACCTCACCAACTCTAATTATAAAACCTTTTCTCTGAACATGTATTTAAATAAATTAACATATCAGCCAGAAGAGGTGATTTTCTTGCTACTGTGTGTCCTCAGGCCTGCGGAGTTGACTTCGAGGTGAAAGCTTTCTGTGCAGAAAATGTTGAAGAAAAGATCCACAAAAGGTAAAAATATGTCAGCTGCAGTCCAACCCTGGAGAGAATAAAGAGATGAATTATGAATGACAGTGAAATCAGTCGTGCATTAGCATCTTCCTGCACACAGGGAGAGGGAGGCAGCTGCCAGCTGCAAGACGATCACTTCACCACTGACAGAGAATAAACCACAGTGATCCCTCAAATCACACATCCAGACTAAATCTAGAGTGCACAGTGGCACTATGATTAGATGGTGGTATCAGTGTTGTGTTGATGTTGTAGGAATTCGGTGCGTCTGGTGATCAGGAAGGTGCAGTACGCCCCAGAGAAACCTGGTCCTCAGCCGACAGCAGAAACCACCAGACAGTTCCTGATGTCAGACAAACCTCTGCACCTGGAGGCCTCTCTGGACAAGGAGGTAAGACCTGTGTGTTACTCACATATTTGGAGCAGTGATCCTCTAGAAAAGCACTAATAAGCCCATTTCAGCCCCTCACAGTCCAGTCCCGGATCACACACAGACGATCAGAAAGACCCGAGCTGAAAAGGAAGTACAGGCGCTCGTTATCCTGACAAAATGACATATTTAAGTCTGGTTATCTACTCACAACCTGGACCATGTGTTGTCACAAGATATGTCTTAGTTGTTGGCAGCCATGACCCCTCTGGGCCTCTGTACCTCAGTGTCTTTGCCTGTCCTCTCTCAGATCTACTACCATGGAGAGCCCATCAGTGTTAATGTTCATGTCACCAACAACACCAACAAGACCGTGAAGAAGATGAAGATCTCTGGTACGTCAAAGCGCTGCTTTCTGCTTGCATCTCTGTGTGGTAACTGTGTTGTGTTATTAAACACTGATTTGTGTTTCCACAGTGCGACAGTACGCAGACATCTGCCTCTTCAACACGGCTCAGTACAAATGTCCAGTGGCCACTGAGGAGTCAGAGTGAGTGCTCTCTGTTTGAGTGTTGGACAGAACAGACAACATGCTGAGACTGAGTAGTTACCACAAGCTCCGTTCAGGAGCTTTTGACTGTATCGCCTGGTCTTCCTCAACAGATTGAGTTGACCGGTTGTCATGGCATTGTTAATGTCAAATTTTCATTGTTTGAGCACTTTAAGGACTTCTCAACATCAATTTGTAAAATGCCAAAACATATAAAACTGGAGTTTAAGGTGAGATTCATCAATGTGCTAATGACATAACTGTTCTTAGAGTAAGGTTGATGGTGATTAATGATAAGAAAACACAACAGGGTGTTTTGTAAGATATTTTCTTAAATATTCAAAAGAAAACAACACGATGCATGTTTGTAAATAACAATGATCAGAAAAAGAATTGACCAAACTACAAACTGAAAAATCACGATGCTGATGACGACATCTAGTGAATTCAGTCAGAAGCTGATATCTGGGTTCATATTCACTTGACAAAGTCACCATGAAAATATTTTTCTTCTCTTCAGTGACATCGTAGCTCCCAGTTCAACTTTTTGCAAAGTTTTCACCCTCACTCCTTTTCTGGCCAACAACCGAGAGAAACGAGGCCTGGCTCTGGATGGAAAGCTGAAGCACGAAGACACCAACCTGGCCTCCAGCACACTGTGAGTCCAACACCACTCATGATGCCTTCCAGGCTTGTAGGAGAGTGGGAAATTCAAATGTGATGCTTCTGATGGCATCGAAGCAGCCTGACTGGTTAAACTGAATGTTGAATGTTGTCCTGAGCAGGTTACGAGAAGGAGCCAATAAGGAGATCCTCGGTATCATTGTATCATACAAAGTCAAAGTGAAGCTGGTCGTGTCGCGAGGCGGGTCAGTACACTTTGTTTTTAACTCAACATCAAATGAGACGAGCTTTAAAGTCTAACTGAAATTACAATTCATGATCATTCAACATCATGCAGTACTCTGTGTTATCATATGGAACTCTGTGACTTTATACAGAGCTCTGTGACATCACACGGAACTCTGTGACATCACAGGGAACACAAACTTTTTACAGAGCTCTGTGACTTAATACAGAACTCTGTGACATCATATGGTACTCTGTGATATCATAGGGTACCCTGTTACTCAATACAGAACCCTGTGACATCATACGGTACTCTGTAACTTAATATAGAACTCTGTGACTTCATATGGTACTCTGTGACTTTATTTAGAACTCTGTAACTTCATATGTAACTTTGTGGTTTATACAGAACACTGACTTTTTGTGGTACTCTGGGACATAATAGGATACTCTGTGACTTTATATATAACTCTGTGACATCAAACGGAACACTGACTTTTTATAGAACTCTATGACTTAATACGGAATTCTGTGACTTTATACGGTTCTCTGTGACCTTATACCGTACTCTGTGACTTCATGTGGAACTCTGTGACTTCATTTGGAACACTGACTTTTTACGGTACTCTGTGACATCATACAGTACTTGGTGATCACACAGTACTCTGTGCCTTTATATGAAACTCTGCAACATCAATCACTTTTTACAGAACTCTTTGACTTCCTGTGTAACTCTGTGATTTAATATGAAACTCTGTGACTTCATACAGAACTCTATGACAACTCACCAAACTCTTTGAGTCTTTACGGAACTCTTTTTAAACAAATCTCTGGGATATCATACAGAACTCTGTGACATGATACGGTATTATGTAAATTAAAACGGTACTCTGTGATATCATAGGGTACCCTGTAACTTTGTACAGTACCCTTTGAAATCACACTGAGCACTGACTTTATACAGAACCCTGTGAGAGGATACAGAATTTCTGACTTTTTACGCAACTTTGTGATATCATATGGAACTCTGACTTTTCACAAAATGCTGTGACATCACAGGGAATGCTGTGATTTATTATGGTACTCTGTGACATCATACAGTACTCTGTAACTTAAAAGGAACTTCATATGCAATTCTTTGACTTACATACAGAACACTGTGACTTCATATGGAACTCTGTGACTTTATACAGTATTCTGTGACTTACTATGGAAGTCTCTGACTTAATATGCTACTCTGTGACTTCATACGGAACATGTGTTTTAAAATGGAACTCTGTGACTTCATACGGAAGTCTGTGACATCACACGGAACTCTGACTTTATATGGAACTCTGTACCATCACATGGAAGACTGACCTTTTGCAAGACTCTTTGACTTCATGTGGAATACTGTGACTTCATACAGTACTATGTAATTTAATACAGTAGTCTGTGACAACACACCAAACTCTGTGACTCTATACAGAGCTCTGGAACATCACACGGAACTTTTTATGGAACTCTGTGACATGGTACGGTACTCTGTGACTTAATACGGAACTCTCTGACTTCATAAAGTACCCTGTGACTTTATACGGAATGCATCATATAGCACTTTGTGACTTAATACAGCTCTGTGACATCATACGGTACTCTCTGGTTGTGTATGAAATCACTCACTCATTCACTCCTCCCTAGTCACTATCCAGGGACATCTATGTAGAGGACTAAATAGTGAGCTAATTGGCAAAATGAAAAAAAACTTTCAGACTCTACTCAGGTAATTTTCTCCTCACCATTTTTCTGTCTTTCAGCACAAGCGCAATGCATGATGGTTTATATTGCTTGGTTTATTAACCATTGGTTGTACACTACTTTTCATGATGCATTGTGGGACACTATGAGTCCACTACGTAGGGTGTGATCATTCTTACTATACATTTGGACAGCACTACAAAATGGCAAACTTACATTTATATATATATATATATATATAGCCTATATTTACTTACAAAAAAGTGATGAGATCAAATCTCAGTTTGACTTTAAAGCTTAGTTCTTGTGTGAATCTCCAGTTTCTGTTCCTCCCTTATCATCACTGCAGGTGGTTTAATCAAGTCTTTCACATAAGCAAGTAACTGCTGTTTTCTTCATCTCACCTGTTACTGACATAATGTTCTGAAACAAAACTGGTGTTTAAATGTGACGATTTAAAGAAGACAAAAGCTGTTTCTGGAGCACAAATGTAGAATTAAAAACACAATGTTACAGTCTGTCTCTTCTTGTAGTTTCTCCTCTGCACTCTTTCTTTAGTGTGTTCAGGCTGATACCATGTGGATAACCTGATCTTAACATCCACCCAAATGCCAGTTAAAGCAGACGCGTTAAGGGCATGAACAGAAAACTGCTCAGATCACAATGGGGTCGGCCTCGGCTCCAAGATCCTGATGACAGTTAATGAGCACATCAATAGACATGAGTAGAAACACTCTGCTGCTGCTGTGAAGCTGAAGGTGTTAAATGTTTATTGATTTCAGGCTCCTGGGAGATCTGGCGGCGAGGTAACCTTTCACGTTCTGTCACGTCACGTTCTGTCACCAATCAACACACTGATACAAACCACACACTTTCACATCTCACTAAACAAATTCTATCACAACACTCCAATTACTAAATGAAATATCTTTAATACATTTGCTGTGGATTGTTGGTGGTTTTATGACATGATACATGTAATGATTGTTTTTCAGTGACGTCTCTGTTGAGCTGCCCTTCACATTAATGCACCCAAAGCCGTTAGAAGAATCCATCTACAGAGACGGTGAGTCATGTTCATGTTCATTTCTCTGCAAACTCAGATCTGCTCTGTTGATGAGACAGTGCATTATCATCCGCCTGAACAACTCACATATAAAACCTAAGAATCAGTTAAAGAAAGTGCAACAATGGTGTACAAGTAACACAAATTTTATCTAATTACTTTTAGTCTAATGTCAGATTTTTTTCCATTGTGTTTCCATTTGTGTCATCAACATAATGACTGAAAGAAACCTCTTTAATAAACTAATAAAAAACAAGACTAGGTCTAAACCTAGTCTATGTCTGGACTGCCTCTGATCAAATCCTGATTTTATAACTGTGACGTTGTCTGACAAAATCACCAAACACATAAATTAAAGACGAAGACTGAGCTGTGTCCATCTGGGATCACAATAGTTAAGTCTTTATTTACTTCAACTCAAGAATGTAACAGACTTTTATTAGAGGAAGGTCTTTATGTCTAACTCCCTTTGTTTGATATGTAGAGTTGGTCATAGCAGCATTCCAGTACAAAGCCTTGTCTTCAGCTGCTCCTGTCTGTCGTGTTAAAATGACTGTATTATGTGTTAATACAAATCGTTTCAAATTAAAAGTCCTTTAGCATTTCAGTGGACAGAAACCCCTTATGTCTTAATATGGCTCTTATTGCTGTGTTGTAGTAAGAGTATTGTCTCATTTCCAGTTGCTGGTGTTTCTGTTGTTTACATGCTATTCAGATCTGCTAGCTTCTTTAGCAGTTAGCAATGACTTCCCTCTCCCCTGCTCAGTGTGACTTGTGTTTAGTTAATAATGATACGTGTAATGAAAGTAGTTTATTTGCTGTAATGGAGGCAAGGCTCAGTGTATTGGAAGCGCTCCTCCTCTTCCCTGCAGTTCCTGAACAGCTAGGAAACCAGAGCAGCTTGGTGGACTGCCTGTAACAAGAGGTGTAGCCCTGAGCCCCGAGTTGGCATCTATACACGGTCCAGACCTGAACCAGGTTTATACTAGGGATAGGCATTTAAAGTAATTTCAATATTCGAGTACTCTCATTACCTCATGAACCAGTACTTGATTGCTTATTATAATATATATTATATTATAATATATATACATAAATAATTTTTTTACCTAAGAAAAAAAGATATACGGGAGGCCCGTGTCCGACTGGAAACACAAGCAGAACCAATGTTAAGTTTGTGTTTCCAGTCGGACACAGACCCCCCCGACCAAGCCTTCCAGATTAAAGGACTGGCAGTCCAGCCAACTAGATCATCAACAGACGGTGAGAATGGAAACACATTTCAGGCCCTAAAATAACTGTGCACATCATGTCCACACTGATTGCAGTTTCAGTCTCACCTTGGTTATAAATGCATTGTCTGATCTTGAAAACATGAATTGATGTTCATATTCCAGGTATGAATATACTGCTGTGTATTAATCTGTGGGATACTGTAGTTTTCGTCCTGTGCTGCTGTTTGGAAAGAAATGAATGTGATTCGGCCTGAGACATGTGGATGCTCTGGTTATAAACATCCTCCCACATGCCTGGGTTAACTGCTCAGATCACAGGGGTCGGCCTTTAACGGCTCCACAAGGCGCCATTTAGGTTTGGACTGGCACCACTTGCACACATGTAGAAAAAATAATTTTAAAATATTAACAATATTTAATTGTTGTAATTGAACATCAAACTGTCTAATATCAATGTCCCATCTGATGATGAGGCCTGATAATGAGATGGTTTGTATTTCTTAATGTGATTTCATGGAAGTGAAGTGAAAAAGTAAAAATCAACCTTAGAACTGGTGATGATTTGAAATGATGAGCAGTGATATGAACCAAGTTTGTTGTAAAATGTGTCTCACAGGAGTGTGTGTCTCTCAGGATGATGTGTTGAGTGAAGTTTCCGGTGTCTGACCATCATGTCTCTCTGTCTTTCAGCCCCAGATGAAGCTCCAATCGACACAAACCTAATCGAGTTTGACACAAAGTAAGCAGCCATCTCTCCTGTCTCTCTGTCTCTGATCCTGTCTCTCCCTCCTCATCAGCTCATCCAAACGCTGCCTCTGCTCTGTGATCTGATTGGCTCTGCTCTGATTTACGTCCTCGTCAATAACCCTGACAGCAGAGAGGGTTTCCTCTCCGCCTGCTGGAGCATTAACTGTGATGGACTCGTCTCCTGAGTCTCAGCCTTAATGTGTCTTAATGCCTGCTGCTCTGTGAGCTGCAGGAAATGGGCTTCAAACTGAAAACGCATACTGCTGTCAGCAGAGCCTGGAACATGACTCCTGACAAACACCAACTCTGCATTTTACAGATTATTATTTCACTCTCATACGACCACAGGACAACTACAGAGAATCATTTATTCACCAGTTATAATGACTGAAAAAGGATAAGGAGCCTCAGTTTAAAGCTGATTACTGATTAATGAACTCATAATAATACCTCACACTTCAAGTCATTCAGTCTCATGTTCAGTATCCAGGACTGTTATTGTTCACAGTAGAAACAGATGAGAGGCAAAATAATTCCGCTTGTTTTCACTTCAGCTGGTTACAAGTTTTTTAGAAGTGAGTTTCACTCAGTGTTGAAACAAGAGAGAATGAAGCAGATTGATGCACTAAATAAAACAATTACAGACACACACACACACACCACAACACACCACACACACACAAACTATCACCACACACACACACCATATACTCATAGGAGCTAAGATAGTATAATATAATATGATATATGAGTGAGTGATAAGGCCGTATATACAGCATATAGCAAATGAGTACACCCTCTCTTATACCTAACAAATTCAGTGCTTTCTCTCTATAAATAAGACGTATTTGGGGTTCATATATGATGTAATATTCCTACACACTTACCAATGATATATATCAATACTAAACAGGGAAATATGTTGTTCTTGTCAAAATGGTAAAAGGTCATGTTGCAAAAATGAGTACATCCTCCTGAAAGTTACAAAATAAGACTTATTATACAACAGTTAGTTCCAACCAAGTTATTTGATTGGACGAGAGGCATTCCATGAATGCTGGTATAGAGTACAACAGCACTGGGACTTTTAACTACATGTGTCACTCCGCCTCACAGGTGTTCTTTTAACGTTTCAGCGTTACATTAATGGTCGTTATCTGTCTTAGAGTGTAACAAACTTTGCAAAGATGAAAATATTTCCAGAAATAACATTTGAATTAAATGATGTCTGGTCGTCAGAAGAGGATGAAGGAAGAAGCCTGGGTACTTCAGCACACATCTCCAGGTGCACTCATATGACATTGTCAGGTCAGGAAAATGTTTATGTGTTGCTTAGCAACAGTCCAGTACCAGTCCAGTTGCGGAACTATTTGTGTTGGCGTAGCCAAATAAATGATGAAATAAACAAACTAATCATAATCTGTTGTTGCTTATTTAACTAATATGGCACTCGTAGAACTGTTGTTTAAAAGCCATGTCACATGAGAGGACGTGATGGAGTGATGTACTGACTGCAGCACGGCTGTGATGTGATTCTGCAACATCTCTCCCTCTCATGTGATAGTGTTTAAATAAAATGTGTTTTGGTGTTTGTTAAGGGCACCAGACTCACCAGGTGAGTCTGTTGAACCATCCCACTCAAACAGGTGTAATTGGTTGATAATTAAAGTCGTACCTAACCCACTGAATCGCTCTCAGACTTAATGCTGACAACAATGGCAGCACATGGGAGAGAACTGTAGACTTGAGAAACACAACTATTTCATTACATAGAAAAGAGCAAGGGTACAAGAGGTTTAGCAAATCAGTCACAAATATAGGGATAGGGAAATTCAAAGAGGACAGAAACGTCCAGGTCGCTGTCATAAGATTTCACCTCAGGACGAGCGAGTTTTGTTGATAAAAGTGAATTGGCGATAGCAAGTGCCAAACTGGAGTGACTGTTTTGACGTCACACATTGAGACACATCCTGCACACAGGTGGAACCATGACTGTTCATGCAGGAGGCACTGCGGAAGCACAGTACAAGAGAGCCTGTTTAGCCTTTGGCCATACTGACAAAGGTGAAGACTTTTGTTCTACTTGGCTGAAACCAGGTTGAACTTCAATTTTTGCAACTCTAGATTTAAGCCAAAGTTGTGCAATTTACTTATTTTTTAAATATTGATGACACATTTTCTATGTTGTTGTTACATGTGTTTAATAAATTTCATTTTTGTCACCTGTTGAATTGAAATTTGATCATTCAGGAAAAAAAAAAATCTTTATGTTCAGAGGGGTGTACTCATTTTCTGCTGTGTACTGTACACTGATCGCCACAACATTAAAGTGAATGTGAGAGTTGGTCTCAGTGGTGTTTTGGATACTATACTATATATATATATGTATATATATGTATATATACACATATATGTATATGTATGTATGTATATATATATATATATATATATATATATATATATATATACATATATATTTTTGTATATTCATATATATTCATCATCACGATATGAACATGTGCAATAAACACATCATAAAAGACTGACTGAAACGCGATAATTAGAAAAATAATTTTATTTAACACGTCATGCACACATGGTTTTCGGGTGCAGCGCACAAGCCAAATCAAACCAGAAAAAAACTCTACCCCATATTGGTTGTTGGCTGCAGCCTCTCACAGACACACACACACCACACGACAACCACACACACATTAGACAGCACAGAGGCGGTGGTGGAGACCAGTGAGGAGTGAACTTTTTATGTGAG